TTCGTGGACGTAGGCAATTTGTCGAAGTGGTGATTGCGGGGTTTTGCAACGATTTTGTGAAATTCACGAGAGTTTGTGTTGCAATTTTATTTTTCGCTTCGTCGATCGTTCCCCCGTTTGATTTATATATATATACAACATCAACAGGGGTATATCTAGATTTCGCAACACTCATGTCTTTTATTTTTTCATTCAACACACTCTTTTCTTAAAAGTAAGAATGTCATTTGGTGCGTACTTGCTAAGAGAAATAACAGGAGTCTCTCCCAACTGTTTTGCAAGGGATTTATCAAACTAGCGACAAGGACCTCATGCTCTAACTTTATGTCCATCACTGCTAACTGATTTAAAACCTCATAAAAAATATTCAAGTGATCAGAAATTGCAGTCCCATCAGCGTACATAAGATGCATCAATTTTTTGAAATGGAAAATAATATTCTATGCATTTTTCTTTTTGTATAACTCCAGTTTCCCAAACCGTGATGGAATTTGTCTCATTATGTACATGCTGATAAATATTATTGTCAATTGATTGTCGAATCTTGTCAATGATTTTTCTATTCAACTTAGCCGAATTTTTATTGGACATCTCTGTTGGTTTGCTTTCATCGCCCAAAAGTGTATCCTCGATAGTCCAGACAATAAAGAAAATCCTTCATACGTGACTTCTAAATCGAGTAAATAGTCACCTTGAGCTTATCTATTCAACTTAGCCGAATTTTTATTGGACATTCCTGTTGGTTTGCTCTTATCTCCCAAAAGTGTATCCTCGATGGTCCAGACAATAAAGAAAATCCTTCATACGTGACTTCTAAATCGAGTAAATAGTCACCTTGAGCTTAATCATGATATTGATATTATTAGTGAACCCCTCCATTTGACTGACACAAAATTATCTCTAGAGCAACTTATCTTTGATGCCACTTATTATAAAAAGCCAGCCAAACACAGGCTGCATCACGTTCACACAAAACGCAATTGATCAAACAAAATAACGAGAATAAACCATACCAAATTCTTAGCATGAAAAATCCTTCAAATAGAGTAAAAAGCACGGGCCTCATAGGCCACTTAAACACCACCACTAATCAAATTAATGTCTACACAAAGCTCTTCTCTAGAACACTATTAGAGGAAATTAATAATCAGCAGTTACCGAGTAGGTGGTATACATCAACTCCATCAAACACGAGTTTGGTAATCCCACTGAATTCAAGAAAAGTAAGATGCAAACCACAATAATCAGTGTCCTGATCACCACTGATGAGATGCCAAAATCCCAAGTTAGAAGGAAGAAAATTAATTGAGGACAGATACACAATTTTTTTCATTCTTCTTCCCCCCCGATGCCTTTCATTTTTCTTGCTAGGATAGAGGAAAACCAAAAATCGATTTTTCCAAAACTGAATGTAAGCAGTTGCCTTCACTTGGGAGGGACCCACAACCGAAGGTTCTCGTACCATCCAAAAGCTCAACTTGAAATTAATCTTAATTGGCTTGATGATCACATTCAATCTTGTTGCTCGTGCAAAAAAAAATTCTCGTGACTATAATGACTTCATATTTCATTTAGAGGTAACGACTAGCAACACTTAGAATGTACGTTGTAATATTGAATCTATGTATCACTTCTGCTTTCTTTTTTTTTTGTAATTAAAATATAAATCTGGAGATTGTTCCGATTTATGGTTTTTTTGCGCTATAACTAACCTCACAAGTAACATGTTGCTCTAGAAAGAGTATTCTTTATTCTCTAGTTTTGCTAAATTATTCCTTAGAGTTCTTATCTAGATGTTCCACAGAATTGTTGTGCAATATCATTCCTATCCCACAGCAATTAATAGATTTACCACAAGATTTCTAATTTAGAATTGGTAGTATTGCTCTTGTAGAAGGCACTCTTTTATCAGAATCCTCGAGTTTTCATACTAGTCTTTGGAACATGCCTAGTCTTGCTATGTTATCTATGTACCATTTTCTGAGTTGATTTTCATGCCAGAACAATTTATAAGACGCCTTGTAGTTATAATTCCTCAAAATTTAAGTCCGGTGTGGCCTATATGTATATTTTATGTATATCATACTTTATTAAATAAAGCCAACCTATGGATTTCTGGATAAATAGAAATCCCTGTTTATTACGATCAATAATATTTGCTGCCTGCACAGGTACTACTCCATGTATGGGCATGTTGAGAAGCTGGCCGAGGAGATTAGAAATGGCGCCGCCTCTGTCGAGGGCGTTGAAGCTAAGCTGTGGCAGGTACTCTTTCCAGTTCACAAGATAATGCATTCAATGTTATGAGATGAACCCAGAACAGTGATTCCACATTCCGCGAGCAGGTGCCTGAAACACTTTCCGAAGAGGTGCTCGCGAAGATGAGCGCTCCTCCAAAGGGCAATGCTCCAGTCATCACACCAAATGAACTCGCGGAGGCTGATGGTGTTCTCTTAGGTTTTCCCACCAGATTTGGCTTGATGGCAGCACAATTCAAAGCTTTTTTTGACGCAACAGGTGGGCTCTGGAGAACCCAGCAACTGGCAGGTAAGCCTGCAGGTATTTTCTACAGCACTGGATCCCAAGGTGGTGGACAAGAGACTACTCCGTAATTCCTTCTTCTTCTGTCTCAAAACCTCGTCTATCTTCTTATACTAGTTTATGTATTGGCATTTTTTCCTTTGTTGTTGTGTAGATTAACAGCAATCACTCAGCTAGCTCACCATGGAATGATCTTTGTTCCCATTGGCTACACCTTTGGTGGTGCCATGTTTGAGATGGAGAAGGTGAAGGGAGGAAGCCCTTATGGCGCTGGCACTTTCGCTGGAGATGGCTCAAGAGCTCCGACAGAGCTAGAACTTGAGCTCGCTTTCCACCAGGGCAAATATTTTGCATTAATTGCAAAGAAGCTCAAAGGTTTCGCTTGATCAATGGACCCAACCTTAGTAAACTAAATTTGTTTTGTCTATTTTTCCATATGCCTTCAAGTACAATTTATCTTCCTCGGTTCTAGGTTAGGCAATATAATAAGTGTATGGACACTTGATAGAGCAGAGGGCTGAGGTATTTCCTTTGTTTAGTGTATTTTTTGCTTGGTGTGAGTGTATATCATTAGTGCGTTTTCCTCCACAGTATAGACTGTCTTTTTTATAGAAATTAACCAATGGTTTTGCTATTCTTCTAATCAATATATTGTTTTTTTTCTTAATGTTAGTATCAATATATTTTAACAGCATAGATTAGGTCTTATAATTATTATATAAGAAGAGTCGTTGCATATGATAAAATGCAGGCCAATTGT